AGTGGTTGGCCGACTTGAAGTGTTAAGGACTGCACTCGTCTAGGTGCACCCCCTAGTAGCAATCTGAATAGACAACTCCTACTCACACAAAGGGAAGGTATCATGGGCTCCAATGATAGATTTAACTGCTTGTTCGGGTCTACATATGTCCTCCGTAGCCCTTTTTTTCCAATTTTAGACAGATCTATGGTGTTGTGGTTGCAACATACTGAACAACAACAATCCCTTACAAATTTCCAACTACTAGTTGCCCTGTGATTCCCAAAACACCTTCATTGTCTATTTCTATGACAAATATGTTGGATTAAAAATCTAATTCTGGGTTATATGTTACTTTAGGGCTATCATGCTATATTAAGTGATCTATTAAATTTATTGGGCTTAAATGTGTTTAGTAAGTGCGGGCCTCCTATGCGCAGAAACCCGATAACTTATTGATTGGGTGATGAGGCCAATTAATATAAGAGATATATATTAGGGTTGTGATCCCAAATGTAGACGTATCATCCATTATTTTTCATATCTCATCGTGCAGAGATAATGGAATTGGACAGAAATGAAATTGAGTAGATAATGTGAATTAATCGGTAAAACAGAGAATTCAGTTGACAAATAATGTAAAAACAAAAATGCAGTGAATGGATTAAACAAGAATAAATGATCAACCGTGTATAAAAGAGTTTTAACAAATGAGAATTCATAAAAAAATATTTTTGGTGATTTTTTTTTAAAAAAAATTACAAATTATATACGAGTTTTTTTAAGATTATAGTTTAGTACAATTTCTTAAAAAATCGTAAAAATTCAATACTTTAACAATAAATTAAATTTGATTTTTGTAAAATTGTATAATATAATTTTAAAAAATTATAAAAGTTAAATAGCACAAAAAAATTTTAAAAAATAAAAAATATACTGCAACATAATTTCTCTCAATTTCTCAAGTTACATTTCTCTGATTCAAACAAATAAGTTAAATGAGACAATTTTTATTTTTCTTATCTCATTTCTCTGTACCAAACACATTTTAAGGGTTTTCTCAAGAGAGATTTCGCCGTAGGCTTGAAGAACACAACGCTCCATTAATTTGCAGATTTTTGAATCCGACAATGCTAATGGAATCATGTTAGATTTATTAACTTTATTTTCTTATCTCAATTATTTCAACACGAGAGATCCTAGACTTAGGGTTTAATTCTTATAAGTTCCAATAATTGCTCGCCTACTTATTTATTTATTTAACAAAACAAATTACATCCAAGGGCTTATTTATCTACGCCAGGTTGTTTATTTGTTCATACATATTGTAAATATAAATAGACATATGTTTGACTATATCTATTCATTTGACTATTTGCGGCTTTGATGATATGGAAATATACATTTTTTTTTAATGGCAATTCATAAACTATTTACATACATTTAATTACTGATAAGTTCCAACAGTCAACATTCCATTGTCAAAACAAGTTTGTCATTGGCGAGAATTGTTGATCGATAACTTGTGATATCATTGTTAATTTATTTTATAAATTAAGATACAGAACATTCGGTTGCTTATAAACATGTGTATCTAGTTTTTTATATACATTCTTTATTTTTATAGAATCAAAATCGTATGCATTGAACGCAATTCTAGTTCTAATTATTTTTAAGAAAATTGGAAATTCATTAATAATGTTTGCTGCGTTTTGACGGTGAAAATCAAGTATTTGAAGTTTCCAAAGTAACCTTTCTTATATGATATTTTTTACTTGATAACGTAAGTGTTTATGTGTATTTTAATTCATGTGATTATTTTTCGACCCAAAGGCAGTTCGTAATTGACAGAATGAAATATACATCTACGATAATATATATGAGATGATTATATGGATTTAACTTATGTGAATTGTGAATCAGTTCAAAGAGTTATTTACTGTTTGACATTACTTATTATTGGTACATGATTATTGCAAAAAGATGACTGCTAGCAATCAATGTTATTGATCCAAAGATAGATCATTGATGTTGCACCTTAGTGTCTTCAGATGAGAATTAATTATTCTTGAGATTCATTATGCTTATAACAACAAAAGTAACATAAGGAAGTACATCATGAACATGTCTAATATTGCTACTAAATTAAGGGCACTAAGTTAGATCTTTCAGTGACATATTTGTCCGATTGGTCTTGCTCTTGAAATTAGTTTTAATTTCAATTCATAGACATACCTAGGGTGGATTTTGGTGTAACAACTCACATCAATGTGTCTATGTAAGAGTGTCTTTATTGCTGAAAATCAACTGATGGTGAAAGATACATCTATATGTGGGTGATGGCAAGAAAGTTAAAATTAAACCATTGATAATTTTAGTTTATTATTAAGTACTAGTTATTATTTGGATTTGGATGAGACATTTTTCGGTACCATCTTTAGTCAAAATTTAATTTTGATCTCTATTTTGAACAAATTAAGTTATTATTGTTCATTTAGATATGGAGTTTTGTCTATTCTAGAATTCAAAATTAGTTGAAACTAGTACCTTATTTGATAATAATGATAATCATTATTTACTTAATAGCATGGCTTCATATCATAAATTCACTATTGAATATATTCATACAACTTCCATGATTGAAGATCTGCTTAATTAGTAAAAGGTTTCCACCTAAGTTCTATAGTGAGCATGTTGTTCGTTTGAGAGTAGAGTCATATCTTGATATTTCGGTTTAGTGGGAGCTTAATAGTAATGTTCAAATACAGTTAAGGTTACTTTATTTTATACTGCAACATTCAATATGCACTGTTTAGTATTCAATCTTAATTCAATATTAAGTTATTATGAATTAAAATTAAAGTGGATCAGTTTGAAATAGGCAAGTTAAGATCACAGTACATAAAATTTCCATGATGTACATGCGAACTTGATCAAATCTTTGGTTATATTACCGTTGTGACCACTGATCGGTTCCATTGCAATAAATACAATGACGACTGCTCTAATCCACATTTATGTGATTTATAGATAAGATTGGTAATATACATTAAATGATGAGCTCATAAGTTATTTAGGTGTACATTTACCCAAGTGGATGATCGTTGGATTAAAAATCTAATTTTGAGTTAAATGTAACTATTAGGGCTATTTGTCATATTAAACCTATATTAAGTGATCTATTAAATTTATTGGGCTTAAATGTATTTAGTAAGTGCGGGCCTCCTATGTGCAGAAACCCGGTAACTTATTAATTGAATGATGAAACCATTTAATATAAGGGATATATATTAGGATTGTGATCGCAGATCTAAACACAACATCCATTAATTTTCATATCTTATCATGAGAGTAACGGCTGATAGCCAGAAATCGCATGCGATATATATATATTATTTGCGATATTTGGTTGATTTTGATTAGATTCTACCTGATTTGGATATATATTATTTATTTAAGATTTGCAGGAGAAAAATAATAGAATTGGTACAATTGGAGGAAAAGAGAACAAAAAGGCCGAATGACTTGAAAAATTAATTAAAAGGCCCAAAGCTCAATTGTTACAAAATTAGGGCAAATATAAAGGAAGGAAAGAAGATGGAGACGTGACTTTTGCCACTTTACATGCCAAGGAGGATAACACCGTGCAGAACAGTCCCAGGGAGAAACCGCGCAAAGAGCGATGTTTATCTTTGCTTTCTTTATTCTTCCTCTTATGATTAGAGAGTAGTTTACTTTTCTAGTCGAGGAGTGAAAAACAACTCGGTACGGATTTGGGAGTTTAGGCTTGTTTTGATTTATGATATTTCTTTGGTTCCTAAGTATTTCTGTGGTTTCTGAATTAGGCATCCATAATTGCGTTTTAATTTAATTCAAGTAGCAACTAGTGGCAAACACCATTAGGAAATTACAGAATCAATTTTAAACAATTTCGCATCGGCAATTGTTAAATTGAATTAGACTCTTCTAGTTCGCAAAACGGTTAGACTTGTAAATTCTTTGTGGTGTCACTAAGGTTCTAGTTTAACTAGGGAAGGAGCTGTCGGGCATACCTAGACTGTCAAGAAATTAAGGAAGAGTTGGTTATTAGGCTTGTGTCGATAACTATAACTAATTTATTTAGAAACCGATAAAATTAAATATTTATCTTTGATAAATCCACTACCCAAGTTGTCAATTTCATTCATAGACTGGAAAATTATTTTTATTTAATTTATCTTGTAGTCGTAGAGTTTTTAGTTTGTTATTATATTTTTATTTCCTACTTAAAAAATCCTCCATTTTATTATATTTATAAATTAAACAATCGAAAATAAAACATTTTTAATTCCCTGATGAGATGACCCTACTTCATCTATACTACGTTATTTTTATTGTAGAACTAGGTTTATTTTATTTAAATATTGGAGCGTGTGACGAATGCCTGTCAAATTTTGACACCGTTGCCTGAGAATTTTAATTGGTTTATTTATCTTTGGTTGTTATCTATTATTTAAAAATTCTGATTTTTTTTGGTTTATGTCGAGATCTGATCGCACAGGAATCTTGAGTTTCAATCCTGAATTGAGAAGACTACACGTTGATTGAGAAAAGAAACTAGGGAGCGTCGCCAAAAAGATTTAGCTTCAGAATCATCTAGCGATTTTAGTTATAAGGAGATCGAGCTCGAAGAATAGATGGATCAGAGGACACTAAGGGAGTTGGCAGCTCCTAACTTGACCCAGCAGCATCTCAGCATCACATACCGGACGGTACACGGGAAGAGTGCTTTTGAATTAAAATTACGACTAATACACTTGTTGCCTTCTTCCCATGGGTTGTCAGGAGAATTTGATGTCGTCTGCACAAGTGTGAGGCCACAAGGAGTAATTGAGGATCAAATCAAGCTTCGTACTTTTCCCTTCTCACTGAAAGACGCTGCAAAAGATTGTCTATTCAATCTATCTGCCGGAAGCGTCACTCCATGGACTGACATGAAGAGGAAGTTTCTCGAGAAGTACTTTCCCGCCTCACGAGCTGCAATCATGAGGAAATAAATATGTGGAATCACACAACATGCAAAGGAGTCTTTATTTGAATATTGGGACCGTTTTAATGCTTTACTTATTAGATGTCCCCATTATCAAATCCCCGTGCTATTACTGATTCAATATTTCTATGAAGGTTTGACTTTTATCGACAGGAGAATCATAGACGCAACAAGTCGAGGGGCCTTGATGAACAAAACTCTTAGAGAAGCGTGAGACTTACTGATAGGGATGGAAATAGGCCAGGCCAGGCCAGACTTTGGCTAAATAGGCCTGGCCTGTTTTAAAAATATCTGGCCTAAGCTGGTCTGTAAGCCTGATTTTTTTTTTAAAAAAAGCCTGAGTTTGGCCTTTTTAAAAACTTGGTCTGATCAACAAGCCTATTTAAAAAACTACATAACATTTTTATTTATTTATCTGAAAATTTAGTTAGAGATAAAAAATAAATAAAGTATAAACAATTATTTAATATATACAAAAGTTAAAAAATTCTATTTTTTATAATAAATTTATAATTAAAATTATTTAATAAATATTATTATTAGTTATAAAGTTATTTTTAATATATAATTATAAAAAGTATTTTTATAAAAAAAATAATAATATTAAGTAGGCTGACCTGTTAATTAAAAATGATTTTTTTTTAAGCTTAAGCATATTCTATTTAAATAAAAAGGCTTTAAAATTTTTTTGACCTGGCCTTTTTAGTAAATAGATCAGCCTAGGCTAGGCCTTATGTAGGCCAGGCGGTAGGCCCCTGAAAGGCGGTCCGGCCTATTCCCATCCCTAATTACTGAACAATATGACGATGAACTCAGAACAGTTCAGACAAAGAGAAGCAGTAGCAGTTAAAGAAGCAAGCGGGTTGTCTTCTATTCAACAACAATTGACTGACTTCATTTGTTCATTTGTTCGACAATTTGTTTCGGGGAAGGCACAAGTTAAGCCTTTTGGTATCTTTGCAAGTTCGGAACATCCTACTGATATTTGTCCTACTTTGAGTCAAGAAGTAAATGTCAGTGCTGCAGGATTCATCCCAAGAGCATACAACCACTACTCGAATACCTACAATCCAGGATAGAAAGAACAAACGAACTTAAAGTATGAGAATCAAGAAGCTAACTTTGGAGATCATTTGAGAGGATGAGGAGAAGCACCGTTGTCGCTGCCGGCCCCGTCGTTGCCGCTGTCGTCACCGCTGAAGAAGAAAGAGGTGAAGGATATGTCATTGTTGCCGCCACCACCAGAGAAGAAGGAAGAAATGGAAGACTCCGTAGGCGCCACCAGAACCGCCCTGACTGCCATTGCTTTCATCTTCGGAGAAGAAAATGGAGGAGGAGGAGCTGGAGGATGAAAAGAAGAATTTAGGAGTAGAAGAATAAATGAAGGACGAGAGAAGGGTTTTCATGAAAGAAATTATTTTGAATTTGGGGAAGGAGGGGAAAGAAAAAGAAAGAAAAAAATGGGGAAAAACTTGGTATGACTGCGGCAGCTGTGGAGTGGATGTTAGGTTTGTTTAATAATAATAATAATATATTTATAATTAATTATATGAATACAATCAGTACTACTATGACTCCAGCTTCAGCATCTAAAGTTAGTTCTCCGATTTCTCCTTCGGCGAGTTCTGGTGTTCCGGCAATGTTTCCTAGTGGCAGTCCTACTTTGGATGTACCAGACAACACCATGGCCACCGTCCTTACTCATCCTCAGTCCCTGCAATTTGACAGTTCTCCCCAATTTTCTTGATATATAGTTGGAAATCTGATCCTCCATCAATAAATATCAATACGGCCTGTGTATCTCAACACCGCCGTGTCTTCTACAAATTATATGATAATTCAAACTCGTTAGCTATTCCCTTAGTTTGGGATGAAATTTGATTAAAGAGTTTTGAGCTAGAGGACCAATTTGTTGGTATTTGGTGTAGGAAGTGAAAGAAAAAAAACAAGCAATTATTATCCCACATTGGAGGAGGTCACAAATCTCTCCTATAATGTGGTCCCATTAAATGATAAATTGGATTGCAATGAATGGGTCTTGAATGGGCTCTTGATTGGGCTCATATATATATATATATATATAGTCAAAATTGGGCCTTGGGGCTCGTGGGCCAGGCCCAATTACAATTAATATAATTTTCTATTTTATCTAAATATTGTTTTGATTGATTCAAAACAAATTTAAATTAATTAGATAAAATAAAATATTATTATAACATGCGAATCCGTGGGATCAGTTTTCTTATGTTACACCAATAAATAAAAATCCCACATTAATTTTTTTTTAAAAAAAAACAATTCTCTAGCCAAAAACTCCGATCTTTGTTTTCTCTCGCAAAGTGCTTTCCAAAAGAAAACCAATTTTTTTTTTTTTTAATGCAATCAAAACTCTTCCAAAATTTCCGATTCTCCTAATTCGGTTCGTGGGATCTGTAATTCTGTTCGATTTGTTCTATCTTGGGAGGCGATCGGTGATGATCGAATTCGCTTAAAGGAAATCGCATACTACGCCGAGGCTCGAATACGATCTAGATTATGTGTTATCAGATTTTTGATAAATTGTTTTTGTCTTATCTCAGATTTGACCATAAACTATTCAAAAATCTTGAAGCGAATTCTTTTTTGTGAAAATCTAAGATGGCTAACGAAATTCCTAAGATCCATGACCAAATCAAAATTCTTCAGATCCACAATCAGATAGTGGATGCCCAAAACATACCTGCAGACGAGGCGATGATCGACGCAATGAACAATCCTAACAGAAATCTGAACGACGACATTCAGATTGGTGCGGATGGATACGAGAATGAGGAGGTGAATTCCAGTGAGTCTCGTATTCCCGCTTATACTGTTCCAAAATCGCAACCACCGCATAACCGGTGAAGCCGTTGAAATCGCTGTTGTTAGACGTGAAGCACGCGAGGCGTCCAGGAGGGCTGCTGCAGAAAAAGCTGCGAAAGCAGCATACAAAAAGGCCTTCAAGGCCGCGATGGAGGGGGCACAGCCTACTGCTGCGACCTCCAACCAGCCTGTTGCTGGAATGCAGAAACGGCATCCTGTTGATGCCCGACTGAGACAACATGCTGCTGTTCTACCTCGTCTACAGTGTATGGCTGTAGGACTCGCGCATGGTCTTGTTGCATCTTCCGGACAGCAACTAGACGAGTTGGAGGGTATACACCTTGTTGTTGTTACAGACCATGTAATGCAGTATGTTGCTGCAACTTTCAAGCATCCTGTTGCTGCGGCAGCCGATAAGCCGGAAAAATTCAACGGGCAGAATTTTAAAACATGGCAGCAGAAGATGTTGTTTTATCTTGACTATACTGAATCTGGCAGATTGGCTGACGGAGGATGCATCTGTTGTGCTTGAGAGATACTTAGAAGAATAGAAAGCACAAATTCTGAAAGTCTGGAACCATTGAAACTTTATGTGCAAAAACTATGTAATAAACGGCTTGAGCGACTCCCTGTACGGTGTCTACCGGCATGCGCAATGGCTAAGTAGATGTGGGAGACGCTGGAGAAAAAGTACGTAACCGAGGATGCTGATGCAAAGGAATTTATCGTCGGACAATTTCTAGATTTCAAAATGCTCGATGAAAAAAAATTACAAAATAGCTTGATGCGTTTTAGCTGATTTTGCATGAGATCCAAGCTGAGGGGATGCAGCTGAGTAAAGCTTTCCAAGTGGTGACGATAATTGAAAACTTGCCACCTAATTGGGGTGATTTCCAAATTTACTTGAAACACAAACGCAAGGAAATGGATATGGCGAGACTGATTAATCGTCTCCAAACTGAAGAGGAGCATAGATTGAACTTGGCATGCAATGGACATCTAATACTCGGCAGCAAGGCCAATGTAGTCGAGCACAAAGGCCAAGGCTCTCATTTTAAGATAGCTCCGAGGAATAATGAGCAGCTTGGAAAGAACTGAAAGTCAACGGACAAGGGAAAAGAGAAGCTGAAGCCATCTTGTGGCGTTGAAAAGGAAAAAAGTACCTTCAAGGCTAACTGTTTTAGTTCGGAAAGGTCGGACACCGTTTGATAGACTGCAAGGCGCCGAAAAGGAAAAAGGAGACTAATCAGGCACACGTCGTTACTAAAGATGAAGAGCCACTCAACCTGACATCTGTTGTCTCTAAGGCAAATCTAGTGGGTTCAAATAAGAAATAGTGGTGGCTCGACACGGGAGTAGCACACCATATCTGCATGGATAGGAATCAGTTCTCCTCATTCGTGCGTGTCGAAGGAGAAACAATGTACATGGGGAATGCTGCTCCTGCTGAAGTCAAGGGCAAAGGAAAGGTGCTTCTGAAGATGACGTCTCGAAGAGTTGTGAGGCTGACCAATGTCCTGTATATGCCAGCGATGACAAAGAACCTGGTCTCGGGGACACTCCTAATGAAACAAGGCTTTAATATTAATATGAATAGTGATAATTTTGTTTTGCATAAATCATTAGTGGATGTGGGTAAAGGATATGCATAGGATGGACTTTTGAAATGTTGTATTATGACAGTTATTGAAAATAATAATAATAAGTCTGTTGCTTATATTGTTGAGTCCTCTACTTTATGGCATAGTCGATTGGGTCATGTTAATTATGATTCAATTCATCGATTAATTAACCTGAACCACATTCCAAAGTTTGAATTAAACAAACATGAATGTGAAATTTGTCTTGAAGCAAAACAAACTCGATCGTCTTTCCAAATGATTCACCGTGAAACTGAACCACTCGAATTAATTTACAATGACGTTTGTGATTTTAAATTTATAGAAATACGTGGCGGTAATAAATATTTTATTACATTTATTGATGATTGTACGAAATACTTTTATGTTTATTTACTTAAAGGCAAAGATGAGGCATTAAGTAAATTTTTTTTGTACAAAAATAAAGTGGAAAACCTACTTAACAAACGAATTAAACGAATTCGAAGTAATAGAGGTAGAGAATAGGAAACTCCGATCGGTGAATTTTGTGACCAAAATGGAATAATTCACCAAAAAACTTCACTGTATTCACCTCAATCAAACGGCGTTGCTGAACGCAAGAATTGCACATTAGAATAAATGATGAATGCGATATTG